CCAACCCCAAAATATTAATATATATGCTATCTAGACTCTTAGAGTCTATAATACTTTTAATAGTATTATTTTAGACATTGAATCAATCTTTTGTTGTGTAACTGTGGAATACAGTGTAGCATAATCCTTAACAACCTGGATTTAAATGCTGTTTTTTGTCTACTACTAGTTTTTTTTGTTTTTTTTTTTGAGACAGAGCCTCAAGCTGTCCCCCTGGGCAGAGTGCCGTGGCATTACAGCTCACAGCAACCTCCAACTCCTGGGCTCAAGCGAGTCTCCTGCCTCCGCCTCCCAAGTAGCTGGGACCACAGGCGCCCGCCACAACGCCCAGCTATTTTTTGGTTGCAGCCGTCATTGTTGTTTGGCGGGTCCGGGCTGGGGATTTGAACCCGCCACCTTAGGTGTACGTGGCTGGCGCCTTAGCCGGTTGAGCTATAGGCGCCGAGCCTACTACTAGTTTTTAAAAATTTCTCTAAGCCTCAGTTTCCTCATCTATAAAACTTTCCTCACTGGGTTTATATAAGCTTAAAATGAAACAGTGTATGTAAAATGTCTAGCATGTATGCACACATGTGGACACACACCTCCTAGCTGTCCTTCCCAGATTTGTAGGAAAGAATCATTAATAATTGTTAAAAAACCCTGGTACCCGTCACACTGGCACTTCCTACCTGAAGTTCCTGCATGCTTCTGGGGGAAGACCTGAATTATGACTTAACTACTATAGACAGTCTGAACGATTGTGCCCATTTTTGTGCAGTCTCTGCGTGCCTTCACTTGAGGACCCTCCTAAAGGAATTAGTGTACATTTTTGTAGCCTAAGTTTTGAGTCGGACCCCCCCACCCCCCACAAACATACTCTGAAAATTTTAAGAAACTTCTTCTGTCTGTGTTTGGTAACCCAGTAATAGACTTGATTTTATTTATTCTTATTCTGTACAGACAAAAGATGGTGATAACATTGATTTTACTTACATAGGCTAATAATTTCTTGGAAGAATTATAAATGTCATGATTCCAGCAAGAAAACTTTATCCAAGCACCAAGAAATGGCTTACAAACCAAAGTTTGCACGTAGAAATACCACATGACATAGTCGTCCAGTGGAACATGTGAAATTAAGTAGATAGAGTTTTTTTTAGACAGAGTCTCAAGCTGTCACCCTGGGTAGAGTGCTGTGGTTGTCATAGCTCACAGCAACCTCCAACTCTTCAGTTCTAGTGATCCTCTTGCCTCAGTTTTTCTATTTTTTTAGTAGAGATGGGGTCTTGCTCTGGCTCAGGCTGGTCTCTGAACTCATGAGCTCAAGGAATCCACCTGCCTTGGCCTCCCAGAGTGCTAGGGTTACAGACAAGAGCCAGTGCACCTGGCCTATTTTTTGTGTGTGTGTGTATGTGGACTGAAGCTTTCCTTTCTCTGACACCATTCAAATTATGCAGTTCTTTTTTTTTTTGCAGAATTTCTTCTGTAGCGTTTATAGTTTCCATAGCCTTTACAGTAGAAACAACCTTTGTTTAATCCTAGTAGATAAGGGTTATAATTCAGGCCTAAGTAATTTATTTTTTTAAAAAATTACTTAATTATTTAGAGATGAGGGCTTCCTGTATTGCCAAGGCTATAGTCAAAATTCTGGGCACAAGCAATTCTGCCACCTCAGCTGAGACTGTTACCATCATGACCAATAGTAATTTATTTTTTAATCGTTTGTTTTCTTTGTTTTATTAGATATGATAATATACTTAATTATATGATGTATATGATGTATCAAAATCAAAGAAGTGTGTAGCATGAGTTACTGTGGCATAATATGCAGATAGATTAAGTGCTCCAGACTGTGCTTCTTAAAATTACAGCATCTGCACTGGCAGTAAAAATTGCTGGGCTTCATTTAGGAGTGATACTGGAAATTTGAAAAATTATAATCTTGTCTTTGTTTAAAACAGCTGCGTATTTACTGCTTTATGATACAGCTGTGTAAAGTCACTGCATCTTGTGGATCAGGAAAAATGTGCCAGAACTGAAAACCATCCAGAACTTGGCAACCGAAGTCATCAAGAGGCTAGGGTGGCTTAAAAATTTATACCCTTCAGTGTAGAATGATCCTTTGGGGTATAACTAGAGAAATCTTAGATTTGGGAAGGGAATTAGGCTTGATCTAGTCCACGCGGTTACTTAATGCAGGAAATTATCTTATGGCATTCCGAACAAGTGACTGAGGAATCCTGGATGGTGCAGTTAAGATCACTGATCCTGGAGGCGTGCTCTTGGGGTTTAAATTTTAGCCCCATATGGTGGGACCTGCTAGCTGAGCGACCATGGGAAAATACTTAACCTCTCTGGGCCTTGTTTTCCTGACTTACCGTGGCCTGCAGCTGTGTCTCTTTGACAATAGGCAAAGATTACAAGTGGTCTGACGTCTGCCTCCTTGCCATTTAGTATCAAGAGATGAACTGAGGGCTGCCTGTAATCCCAGCACTTGGGAGGCGGAGGTGGGTAGATTGCCTGACCCAGAGTGGGACCTCATCTCTAAAAGAATAGCTGGTGGCTTGGTGCCCGTAGCTCAGTGGTTAGGGCGCTGGCCCACACACACTAGGGCTGATGGGTTCGAACCTGACTTGGGCCTGCTAAACAACAATGACAAGAACAATAAAAAAAAATAGCCGGGCATTGTGGCAGATGCCTGGAGTCCCAGCTATTTGGGAGGCTGAGGCAAGAGAATCGCTTAAGCCCAGGAGTTTGAGGTTGCTGTGAGCTGTGACGCCATGGCATTCTACCAACGGTGACAAAGTGAGACTATGTCTCAAAAAAAGAAAAAGAAAAGAGATGGACTGAGAATCAAGTAAATGTTAGTCTTGTATATCTTGTGAAGAAAAGTATGTTCCAGGTACAATAGTTAACCTCTAAAAAGTGACATTTTCTATGTGGACCAGAGTGGTGGCACAGGAGGTAGGAACATGGAACTGATGACTCTTAGTTGAAATCATTTCTATCCATTATTCTGACTTCTTCCTTCTAGAACAACATGTGAATTTTCATTCGTTTTTCTGTATGACAGCTCTTCACCTCATCCAATATAAAATTATGAAAGGCATAGTTTGGGTAATTATGGAGTTTCCCCCCTAAAATCCCATAGCCTTAGAGAGCATCTTGCATATTTTGGCTAAAATTTAGAATAAAGAAAATGGACCATTAATGGATGATAATTTTATAGAGCTCTTTAACTTCTTAATTCAAGAAATTACATGGGGAATAAATTATAATTTATTTCCATCAGCTCATATATGGCTGCTCAGCAGGATTGAGAATTTGAAGTAAGTTCCAAATCTTCTTAATGTATTCTGGTCTTGAACTCCTGGCCTCAAACAATCTTTCTGCCTCAGCCTCCCAAAGTGCTTGGATTCCCTACCGGTGTGAACCACACTGGGTTCTGGCTCTGAGTTTCAGAGTATTCTGAACAGTGTGTGATGGTACAACCTCCCGGATGAATTGGACATGCTCGTGGGATGTTAATCTTAATACCTTTTTAGTTGACCACCCAAAGGACTGTAACAAACTGTCGACATACAAAGGCGATCAACTTAAGGAACTGGGTCTGCTGTGCTGATACGTGTATAGGGGGCTTGTCCAGTGCATGAAGATTAGGGCGGTGGTCAGCTAAGGAGGTTCTCGTGTACGTCAAGGAGGAGGAGAATCATTGGCATATGAGTGGTATGAGAGATGAAGGAGGTAAGGGAAGGATTTACCTCGGTCTACGTTAGGGACTTGGGGACATGAACCTTTAGGCAGAAGATGCAGAAGAGGCCATCTGAGAGTTAGGAGGAAAACCAGGAGAGAACGGTGCCACCGAAAAAGAGGCAGTAATCAGTGGTTCAGTGAAACAGAGACCCAGTGATCTGAAAACTGGGAAATAGCCTTGGCTTGATCATTAGTGGCTCTTTCCTGACTGGTTGGTTTCAGGACGGTAGTGAAGGTGGGAGCCAGATAGCAGTGGATTTGGGGATGGTGATAAGATAAGGGAGGAAGGAAGGATCATAAGTGTAGGCTGCTATGCCGGGAAGTGTCGATAAGGTAAGTGTTGGAACCACAGGATGATACAGGATAATGGAAGATTGGGTACGGGATGTGGATGGGGGCGGAAAAGAGCCATTAAAAACTCAAATACGAGGAGAATGGAGACGAGATGGGTGCCGGGCTGTAAGCTGACCAGACTGACCTGGGGCAGGAGGAGGGCTGAGCACCTCTGAGACTGGACGGAAGAGGCTTGTGGATGAACGTTAAGCCTTTGAGATAGAGGACAGCATTCCTGATGACTTCATTTCCTCCAAAGAAATAGAAGTTCTTGGCTAAAAGGAGTCAAGGGCTGGATAGGTCTTTGAGGGAATGGTGAAGGTTTAGAGTAGAATTGGGGAAAATCAGAGCGATGAATGACAAGTTGGTTCCCAGCTTGAGGGATTTAAGGATGCGCCACTAATGTGTATACAAGATTTAAGGATGCGCCACTAATGTGTATACAAGCCGTGAGTGTATTATATGGAAATGGAGGACTGCTTCATTTCACAGAAGATGTATTTACTTAGCGTGTCTGTGTAAAAACCACTGTTCTTACAGACTTCCCTCCTGGGAGATTCAGATGAGCTCTGATCGTCTTACTCCAGGAGGGTATGAGCTGATAGCTAAGGTCATATGACTTGTCACCAACGCAAATGTTTATAATAGCTTAAAATTGGTGACGCATGAGCTTGACAAACACAGTGTGAGGGTTTGAGGGAGTTACAGATTCCATCACAGGAGGGAACACAGGAAGGCTTTATGGAAGGGGCAAAAACAGGGGCTACTTGTGACTTTTCAGATGAAATAGTAACAGAACCAGTCGTGCATTTTTAGTTTATTATAACAATTATTTATTCTTTTGTAAGTCAGTGACCAGCATTAAACAGAAGAGAAGAAATAGAGAAACAAGGCACAGTGAATGCTTTTCCGTCCGTAAGGCTCTAAAGCTGCTGATATTTTTATGTGGGAACGTAGAATTCAGTAATTCTCCCCAAAGTGTTGAATGAATGTTTCTGTGCTAGGTGCTGAGGATGCAGAGAGGATTAAGACGCAGTTTTTATCCTCAAGGAGCACGCACTTTCGTAGAAGACACAAGAGTGTAAAGAGACGACGTCAGTTCTGGGCAATGCTTATTGGTACAATGAGTAGACATCCCAGATACGGCGGGGGGAGCTTGAACAAATGACGATACTGGCCTGACAGCAGATTTTTTTCTTTCTTCTAGTTGGAGAACATCAGTTGACGGGCCATAAAGTCGCAGTTAAAATCTTAAATAGACAGAAGATTCGCAGCTTAGATGTGGTTGGAAAAATTAAAAGAGAAATTCAAAATCTAAAGCTCTTCCGTCATCCTCATATTATCAAACTGTAAGTATTTTTCTATCTGATGCTACAAAAAAAGAGATCTGTTTTTTTAAGAATTTTACAGATAATTATTTCAGTTAAGCTTTTACAAAGATATTTTTTCATATTTATATTCAGCAAATGTTTGATTATCTTACCTTGGTCAGTCCTTTTTGCATATTCTTGGTTATAATTAAAAGTCATTGATTTTGGAATTGGTACTGTTTTCCAAATAATCAGTGCAGCCTCGGAAGTCACTCCTATCTCTGGTATCCAGTTCATAGGCCAGGGCTTCTGTATTCCTAGATTTTCATTTCAGTGGGTTCTCTGTAGTCACTTTTCATTAAGATACCAGGGTATTTTCTTTGTGGAAAGATAGAAAGCAAATGTTAAATATTATACACCACAGTATATTCCTTGTACAACTGAACGTCATACCACAATTAAATAGTAAAGCTTTTAAGAAGGCAGATGAACTTTTTGGGGATAAGTTACAAAATTAAAAGACAAGTAAATACTAATAGATTAATAAATAAGCTAATTCACTAAATTGAAAGATATGATAATTTATAGTTGACTAGATCCATAGAAATTTAGGCATTCCTTTAAATTATTTGAAGTTGTAGTTTAATATTTATTGAGAAAATGTAACGTGTTAGACACCAAACATTATCTTTTATCTTAAATGTTGGATACAGTCTTGTGAAATGAATATTAATCTTATGCATCGAGTACCTGATCATGGTTAGGAACTGTCCCAACCATTTTACATATGTAATTTCTTATCCTCATGAGAAGCCTCTTATCTGGGTTTGTTTTATAGACAAGGAAGCTGCATTTTTTATTTTTTTTTTTGAGACAGAGCCTCAAGCTGTCCCCCTGGGTGAAGTGCCATGGCATTACAGCTCACAGCAACCTCCAACTCCTGGGCTCAAGCAAGTCTCCTGCCTCTGCCTCCCAAGTAGCTGGGACCACAGGCGCCTGCCACAACGCCCGGCTATTTTTTGGTTGCAGCCGTCATTGTTGTTTTGGCGGGTCCGGGCTGGGGATTTGAACCCGCCACCTTAGGTGTACGTGGCTGGCGCCTTAGCCGGTTGAGCTATAGGCGCCGAGCCGGAAGCTGCATTTCTAAAGAGTACGAGCAGCTTATCCAAGGTCACACAGCTGTGAAAGTCACAGGGCTGGCAGTTGAGGTGAGATCTGACTTCAGATGCTATGCCGTTAATCTCACTCCAGCATTCCAGTCATCCTTAAAACTTCATTGAGAGTGATTTAAATCCCTTCTAAAAAATTGTGGATCCCTGGTTTTGACTTAATTATTTTAAATTTCCAGTTAAGTATGTAGAAACAAAGAATCAGGTATAATTGCATGTGTGTATAGTTACATTATAATTATGAATCAAAATAAAGTAACAGTTCAAATACAGATAAAATAATGAAATCAATGAAATTTAAGCAGTATCAGTAGTATAACTTGACAAATAATGGTGTTTTGTAAAAAGTAAGTCATCGTGAATGAGTTTAATAGTAGAGATGGTAGGAGGAGGTACAGGACTGTATTTACATTTTGAGTCAAATAAGATTGTTGCAGAGAAAGCCTATTCCTATAAGTACACTGTAAAAAAAATGTTACTAATATCTCTGAGGCTTTGTTGCTAGTTCATTGAAGTCTGACGTTATATTTAGCCTAACAGAGGAGTCTTTGAATGTCAGTGTTGATGGAGAATGACTTGATAACCCTGTGGAGTTACACTGTTCAGCTGATGAGTTGCTGTGGTAGACAGAATAACGGCCCCCAAAGGTCTATGTCCTGATCCCCAGACCCTGTGAATATGGTAGGTTGCACGGTAGAGGGTAAGATTGCTAATCTCCTTAAAATAGGGAGATTATCTTGGATTATCTGAGTGGGCCCAATATAAATACAGTGGTTCTTTTTTTTTTTTTTTTTTTGTAGTTTTTAATTAGGCTGGGTTTGAACCCGCCACCTCTGGTATATGGTGCCGGTGCCCTACTCCTTTGAGCCACGGGCACTGCCCTAAATACAGTGGTTCTTAAAAGTAGAAGACAGGGATAGAGGAAAAGAGGCAAAGATAAGAGATTTGAGTACGGAAGCAAGGTCAGAATGAAAAGGTGCGGAATCACTCGGCTGGCTGTTGCTGGTGCTGAAAATGGAGGGAAGTGGAGGGGCAGGTGGCTCACGCCTGCAGTCCAGCTCTCTGGGAGGCCGAGGCAAGTGGGTTGCTTGAGCTCAGGAGTTCAAGACCAGCTTGAGTGACAGCGAGATCCTGTCTCTACTAAAAATAGAAAAACTAGCCAGGAGTTCTGGCAGGTGCCTGTAGTCCCAGCTACTCTGAGACTGAGGCCAGAGGATTGCTCAAGCCCAAGAGTTTGAGGTTGCTGTGAGCTACGACGCTGCGGTGCTCTACCCAGGGTGACAGAGTGAGACTTTGTCTCAAAAAATAAACAAATGAATAAACAAATGAATAGAAGAAAATGGAGGAAAGTGAATATGAACAGAGGACATGATTGCAAGTGGTCTTAAAAAGCCGGGAATAAAAAGAAATTCTGCCCCAGAGCCTTCAGAAGCACGCAGAGCCCTGCTGTGCTCTTGGATTTTAGCCCACTGAGATGTGTGCCAGGCTTTTAACCTGAAGAACTATAATATAGTAATAGATTTGTGTTGTTTTAAGCCTCTAAGTTTGAAGTATGGTAGCAATAAGAAATCAATACAGCATCATTCTTGTAAGTGAGTGGTTAGTCCAATTATGCTGGGATTTGGCACATAGATTTATATGCTAGACATGAGCCAGAATATGTATGTAAAAGATTATAGAGAGTATCGTGAGAATTAAAATACCGTCAGCTCAGTGACTCACCTCTCCTATCCTTTGTTTCTTTAACTTTAAAATGGGCTTCCCCTTTGTGTTACTGAGTATTAAATGTATTGGCCCTGGCTTAATGCTTAGTATTTGATGAGCATTGGCCCAGAGCAGGAATTGGCAGCCTAGAGATTCCAGTTCTCTTTCATGATTCTAAGTAGGCTTCAGTTAACTGGAACAGTTCATATGTGACTTCACCTCCATGCTGTAATATCAGTGAGTCATTCAAGTAACTGAGTGACTTCTGAGCAAAATCTCTTTGCTTTCTCTACTGAGTGGCCACTTCCTGAGAGAAGAAAGCTGAAATGGCCAGATTACTGAAACTGTAACAGAATGAAAGTGGGGAAGGGAAGGATGCCTCTGGATTGGTCTTGACCTCATTACTTTTAGAATGCTGGCTCTGAACGCAAATTTTGCCCATTTGGGGTATCTACGTGTGATAGTACCTGTTCTGTCCCAATAAAAACACAAATCACATTTGGTCAGTAAGCAGTTGTGGTTGTCATGAGGATATAAAAACTT